TGTTTAGTGCTTTTCATGGACTGTCTCATTTGTCATCATAAAACCCCAGGAAGGATGTGGTATGATGGCGTTTGCTGCATAAAGCTAAAGGCCTTATCAATGATGTCACTATGGTGGATGGCCAGGCTACTTCTGGTGCCCAAGGGTGACTCCAGCAAGATAGGAATAAAGATGGAGATGGAGATCAAGAGGAGGAGGGGAGCAGTTCTCAGAAAAGGGGAAGGAAGGCACCTTGCTTATCCTCCTCCTCCTTTCCAAGATGAAGGCACTGTACTTCCTTCTCTCATTCTCCAAGTCATGTCAGGGGTGATAGAAATTCCCACGCCACTTGTTACTCCATTCTTCTCCCTGGTACTCCAACATGAGCTTTAGCATGTGTGCATGCTCACAGATGGTAGAGGAGTGCATCAGGTGTCCGGCTCTACCTCTCTCTCCCTTATTTCTTAGAGACAGCATCGCTCACTGAATCTGGAGCTAGGCTGGTAGCCAGCAAGATTCCCTTGTCTCTGTCCCCCATAGCACTGGGGTTATAGGTGCATGTGACCACACCTGGTTTTTTAGGTAGGTGCTGGGAATTTGAACTCAGGTCCCTAGTTAAATACATTTATTTAACTAGGTAAATTAGCATCATTTTTCAATGGTTCTCCCCCCGACCCCACCGATACAGAAAACCTGCTTTCAAATTTCTAAATAGGCATGACTTTGTTTCCAAGCTTCTTTTGTTCCAAGCTTGCTTATTTGCTGGGCATGGTGGTACATGCCTTTAATTCCAGCACTCAGGAGACAAGAGGCAGGCAGATCTCTATGAGTTTGGGGCCAGCCTGGTCTATATAGCAAGTTCCAGATCAGCCAGGGATACATAGTGAGACCCTGTCTCAAACAACAACAAATAACAAAAATAAAAAACCCAACTCTGTTTATCTCCCAGACTCTCCTAATTACAACAGATGCAGTAACTGACACAAGTTGACTACCCCGAATCCAAAATGCTTGGGATTAGAAGGAAGCTCAGAGTTTGGAATTCTATGGAGCTTTAAGAATCTTTGCATGGATATTACTGGTTAAGCATTCCTAACTTGAAAATCTTTGCCAGAGCTCAACACATTTTAGACATGGGGGCCTTTCAGATTTGGAATAAAGCTATTCAAACCGCATGGAGTTGGTTATGTTTTCTACTTAAAATTATCTTTGTTTTTCCTTTTTAACTTTTTGTGCTTTCTTATAAATTTTAGGATTAGTCTGTCAAATTCTACAAAAAATAAAAGCTGGGATTTAAAACACACACACACACACACACACACACACACACACACACACACACACACACGTATATATGTTAACATATAGACTAAAGACAGCATCTTTAAGACAGTCTTACCCATGAACACAGTATCTCTGAATTTTAGCTTTGAATTTTTATCAAAATCACAACTACTGAAAAGTCATGTACAATTTTTGTTAATTTTCTCTGTGCTTTGTATTTTCTTTGCTATTATAAAATGTACCTTTTAATCATCTCTAGGGTTTTTTTTTTTTTTTGAGACAGGGTCTCCCTGTAGCCCCAGCTGGTCTGGAACTGCCTATGTAGACCAGGCTGGCTGAGATCTGCCTGCCTCTGCCTCCTGGATGGTGGGATTAAAGGCATACGAGACTGGCAATCTTTCACTTTTTCTACTGACACATTTTAAATCCCTCCACAGTTTTATAAATGTATATAATACATTTTAGTCATTTTGTCTTTTATTATTCTCTCTTACTCCCTCCGTCTCCCACTGAAACCCTTCTTACCAACAGTTTCCTCCCATTTTCATGTCTTTTGTGTGACCTGCTGAACTTAACTAGGGTTCTGCATGAGCATGGAGGGGAGGAGGTTATTTACAGGTACGCAGGCAGCTTATCAGTGGTTACACTGCTAAGTGAAAGGACACGCCTTCTTCAGCTACCAAACTGTCAATGCTCTCAGGGAGGGGTGGGGCCTCAGAAGCCCCTCCCCCAGGTATGGTTTCCGTTGATGGGGCCCATCTTGATCAGGGAACTGCAGTAGCAGTGAGTTCAGAGGTAAGGTAGCCACGTCATATCCAGAAGACGTTTTTTTTGGCAGCACACCTCCCTGTCCTCGAGATCTTACATTCTATTCCTTCTGCCCCCTTCTTCCATGATGTCCCCTGAACCTTGGGGAAGAGCATCCACTGTTACTTATTCTCAGTCATCTGATCAGTTATGAGTCTCAATTTCAGCTTTAGAGCTCTGTGGTTTGAGTTTGATCTTAGAAATGCTACTGACTTTTTGCAAGTTGTTATATACTAAAGAACTTTATTACTCTCTGGATGATTCTGTTTTATTAATTCACTTAGGCTTTTTAATGCAAACAATGTCATCTAGACATTTGGTATCTTACCGATCATTACAAACTTCCTTCCTTCTTTTTAAAAATTATTATTACTGCATTATCAAAAAAACTCCAGTATAATGTTAATTAGGAATACCAGTAACAAGGACCTTGTCTGTCCTAATTTAAAATGTTCGTGGGTACTGGAGAGATGGCTCAGTGGGTAAGTGTGCTTGCTGTGCAAGCTTGAGGAGCTCAGTTTGAATCCCTAGCACCCAAAAGTCAGGTATGGTTGTGGGTGCACATGTAACCCCAGCACTGTGGGCTACAGAGACAGGAGGATCAATGGCCCTTGCTGGTTGCCAGCCTAGCTCCAGGTTCAGTGAGACCCTATCCCAAGGGAATAGACAGAGAGGGACAGAACAGGACACTTGATGTTCTTTGGCCTCTGTATGCATGTCAACAGACAACACACACATTCACACACAATAAACAAATAGATAAATAAAATACAGTATTTTCTCTATCCAGGGAGGTTTTGGTACACACTTTTATAGATGATTTATTAGGTTTCAGAATTCCTTTAAATATCTAGCGAAAAAAATATTTTGTTATAAGTATAATGAATACTGGATTTTATCAAATGGCCTTTTGACTCCCAATACGTTAAAAATGAGTTTAAACTGATAATGCAATGAATTAAAGTATAGATTTTCTGATGCTAAACCCCATGGCAATTCTAATCACTGTGGCACTATATTAAAAAAAAATTTTGTTGGGCTGGAGAGATGGCTCAGCGGTTAAGAACACTGGCTGGTCTTGCAGAAGACCAGTACCCACATGTGGGTTCGAATCCTAGCACCCACATGGCAGCTAACAACTATCCATAACTCCAGTTCCAGGGGATCCGACAGCCTCTTCTGTTCTCTATGAGTATTACACAACACGGTGCACTTACTTACATGCAGACAATACATGCATACACATAAAATAAAAATAATAAAAATATTTTTAAAATTTTTTTTCATGATTATTTCATCTACATTTGTAGATAAAGTTGATGAGTGATTTCCCCTCATCATCTTGTCTTTGGTTTTGAAGCTCATAAAATGAGTTAGGACACGCCCCTTCATTGTCCATCAGCTGGAGAAAAGTTCAGATCAGATTAGAACTATCTGTGAAACGTCTGTTGCCTTCCTTGCTTGCTCATGAGCAGGTGGATTTAATGTCTTTAATGGGCATAGTTCTACAAAGTTTCACCTGCACCATTTGGACTTTACGGTTCTAGGGAAGTCTTCATTTCATATACAATTTCAATTTATGTGAAAAATGTTGCTCCTATGCTTTTAAAACATTCACTGATCGATTGACGGATTGAAGATGGAGTCTGATGTATTCCAGGCTAACCCTCAAATTACTATGTAGCCATGGATGACCTTTTAACTTATGATGGTCCTCTTGCTTCTACCTCTCAAGTGCTGGGTTCACAGATGGCACCACCATGCTCAGTTTGAACCCAGGGCTTGATACATGCTAGGCAAGCACTCTACTAACTTAGCTGCATCATCAGCCTGCATATTCTTTTTTCTTTTCAAAAATAAATAATGCTTGTGATTGTGCAGGTTATTTTTTTAAAAAGCAATAAGTTCTCTTTAAAATTTTTTAATCAATTTATTATTATTTTATGTGTATGAATGTTTTGCCTGCATGTAAGAGAAAAGCACCCATGTGTGCAATGCCCTTGGTGGCCAGAAGAGGGCATTGGATCCCCTGGAACTGGAGTTACGGATGGTTTTTAGCTGCCATGTTGATATTGGGAACTGAACTCTTGCTCTCTGGAAAAGTAGCGACTGCTCTTAACTACTGAGCCATCTCTCCAGGCCCTGGGTTGGTTAGTTTTGTCAGTTTGACACAACCTAGAATTACCTGGGAAAAGTCTTAATGAGGAGTTCCTTAGATCATGTAGGCCTGTGGGTATGTCAGTGAGGGACTGTCTGGATTGCTAATTGATAGAGGAAGATCTAGCCCACTGTGGAAGCACCATTCACAGGCAGGGAGTAAGAGCATAAGAGAAAGCCGACTGTAAGGAAGCAAGCAAAGCCACACATTTATTCTCTCGCTGCTCTTGACTGTGGACGTGATGTTTAAGTTCCTGCCTCTGTAGTGATGGAGTGTAACCTGGAATTGTAAGCCAAATGAACCTTTTCTTCTCTAAGTGGCTTTCTGTCAGGGTATTTGTCACAGCAACAGAAACGGAACTAGGTTGAGGGTTACAGCCTGTTCTTTCCTATTGTTGCTGGAATTCCTTTTGTTTTATTTTGGCTAATTGTGTGTTTTCTAGTTGTCAAAGAACCAGCGTTGGGCTTTGTCAATACACTTTCATAAACTCTTGTTTTCTACCACATTAATTGCTTTTTATTATTTTTGATTTGCTTTGTTTTTGAGACAAGGTCTCACTCTGTAGTCCAGGCTGGCCTTGAACTCTTGGCAATCCTGGTTCTGCTGCCTAATGCTGGACTGTAGGAATGAGCCATCACTCCAGTCTTTGCTGTTTATTATCTTCATCCCCCAAGATCTCCTGTAGTCCTTCCTCTAATTCTGGTTCAGTGCTCACTTTACACATCGGTTCTAACATAAGCATCTGAGGTTGTGCATTTCACACATGACTCACCTTGCCTTGGAGCTGAGGTGTTTTCCACTGGGCACTCATTGTCATGGACCCTTTTCTCTGGAACAGGCACTGCAGGGCAGCTTCCAAGGGCCCATGGGCCCCTATCACCAAGACCTTCTTTCCATCCAAGATGACCCCTGCCAACAAATGAAAACTCAGTATTAAAACTCAAACTTCAGAGGTTTCCTCCCAGATTGCTTAAACTGAAAGAAAGATATCCTTTAAAGCTTGGTCTTCCTCAAGGAGGATTTCAGAAGGGGGCAGAAAGACTCTAAGAGCCAATGTTTGGATGATACTGCCAGTGTCTTCCCCACCTGAAAGGCAGTTGCACTCATGAACTCTCAACAGTTGCGATTACCTACACGAGACCTGCACAAGATCAATCTAGTCAGTATTCCAGCATGGATGGGGGAGGAGGTTCACAAGGCCCCATTCCTAGTGGAGAAACTACAGCCTAGCTGTTGACAACTGCCAAAGGAGAAAAAATCAGTTGTCTTCAGGGATGGAGTCCCTGTAGGATGCCCATGCTGCTAGAGTGGACAGCCCTACACCTATATGCATGTAGGTCTCTCTCCTCTCTCTCTCTCTCTCTCTCTCTCTCTCTCTCTCTCTCTCTCTCACACACACACACACACACACTTTATATATATAAAAGGACATGAAAGCCCAGTGTGGTAGCACACAACTTTAATTTCAGCACTCAGGATACAGAGACAGGTGAATCTGAGATCAAGGCCAGCCTGGTCTATATAGTGAATTTCAGTCCAGCTAGGGTTACAGGGAGAGACCCTGTCTCAAAAAACAAACACCAACCCCCGACCCCCCAAAAAAGACATGAAGTTGGGAGGGAGATGGATGGAGGAGGGATCCAGGAGGAGTTGGAGGGGGGAGGTAGGGGTGGAATTGATCAAAATAAAATCCATTTATGGGGACTGAAAAGATGTCTCAGCAGTTAAGAACACTGGCTGTTCCTGTAAAAGACCCGGGTTCAAATCCCAACACCCACATGGCAGCTAACAAATGCCCGTAACTCCAGTTCCAGGGGATTCATGGCCTCTTCTGTCCTCCTTAGGTATTGCATGACACCGGTGCACTTACATACATGCAGGCAATATACACATATACATAGAATAAAATATTTTTTAAAAATCCATTTATGCAAAAAAATCAATAAAAGAAAAAAACCCTTGGCCTTCTTAGCAATACATATCTCTTGGCCTTAAAAACACTGAACTAGTAGGAATTTGCCCCTTAGCAATCTGTGGTGTGATTGGCAGGATGTTAGGCTCTGATTATCACATAGATCTCATCTAAATGGTTACTGACTGAAAGGTACATCTTGAAAGTTCATCTTTTAATAAACAGTTATATACTTTGGGAATTTTTATGTGATTATTACCTGTTTGGGGTGGGGGAAGAGCATCTGCCTCTTTTCAGGTCTAACTGGGACAGAGAAAAGTTGTACCTCTCTGTTCTCAGCTAGAAAGCCCGTACATGTGTGAGATGCCCTACAGAAGTTATCCATCAAATTTAGATACCAAGAAAGATAACATTTTGGGTTCTATTTTCCTGACATAAAAATGTAAGGTCAAAAGAAGTATGAGGGAAACTACACACCGACTTCTTCTGAACAAGACACTGCCCTTTGTAAACCTCACCCGAAGGCTCTGTTCTACACAAGATCTATCAGGTTCATCACGGTCCTAACCATGAGACTTATCTAGACCTACACAGTGACAGACCTGAGAAGATGAATCAGAAATACTTTTCACTGTGATTATTTTGATCATTTCTTGAGAGAAAATGAGTACTTAACATAGGCTAACGTTCATCTGTACCCACGTCTCTTAGTTAATCTACTAGAAAATGCTTTGTTATTCGTTTTATCTCCCAAAATGAAAAAAAATGAGAGAAGTCAACATTAAATATCACGTCTATGCTTCAATTCGAACCTTCAGAAACAAATCCTTATTTTAAAAAATGATCTTAGCACTAAATAAAAAATATTTCTCTTCCATGCTTCAGTTAGAATCTTCCAGAAATAAACCTTTATATTAAAAAAAAAGTCAGTAGCAATAAACAGAAAACAGTATTTCCAAAGGAGCATCAGACCTGATTTTTCAACAAGTTCAATTGCAGCTTTGGCCACAGGTGAAACAAAGCACTCAGGGGCGTCACCACGCACCAGCTTCCCCAGGTTGACATCGGTCACTCTGCATCAGAAAGAAAGAGTGCAGATAAGGGAAAACCCAGCCACAAATCACTCAGTGAGAAAACCCAGTCACAAATCACTCAGTGAGAAAACCCAGTCACAAATCACTGTGAGAAAACCCAGTCACAAATCACTCTGTGATAACACGTACATATGAATCTCAAATAACAGCATGTCAGTGCTTGATAAAATGTATTAAATAAGAATCAAAGAGTGGGCAGGAGATGAAGGCCGCTGCTTCTTAGAGCAGCCCAGGAAGCTTTGCTTGCTCTGGATCTTCCCACATTGTAAGACCCAGCACAAGGTCCTGTGAGACTGCACTGCACACCTCCAGGGAGCACCTTCAATGGGCTCTAATGCTCTGGTACCCCTGTAGTCAGGCCATCCGCTTTCAGAAACCAGATTGGCAGGTATGACCCCCACCTGACCTCAGTATCTATTTCTGCAGGAAATCCAGGGGAACAAAATGAAGAGCCATAAACTGTCAATGGCTCATGTTGCCGGGTTTCGGTACCTTTCCCCACTCAAACTCAGGACGAAGAATTCTTCAATTGTGTAGTTTAAGATGATGGTTTCAATACTGATGAGTAACAGAACAAAGATATTCAGGAAGTTCCATATTCTCTTCTTTTATGAAAAATTTGAAACTATATCCTCTTGCTTGGTTTTTAATATTTTTATTTTATGTGTATAACTGTTTTGCCCACATGTACATAACTGCCTCCATGTTGTGCAATGCCCACAGAGGCCAGAAGAGGGCATCAGATTCCATGAAACTGGAATAAAAGGCAGTTGTGGGCCAATCTGAGGTGCTGGAAACTGAGCCCGGGTCCTCTATGAAAGCAGCCAGGGCACTCGACTGCTGAGCCACCACTCCAGCCCATCGTTAGAGCTTCTCAATTCATTAGGGCTTTTCCCTTTTTGGTTAGTTGACTCTGAATTGAAAGTTTTTTCATCTACCCTTTACCCATCCACCCATCCATCCAACCATATCTACATCCTGGAGAACTCAGGGCCTTACCATGTAACATACACTCTCTCCCAATGAGTTACTCTCCCCGCCCTTACAACAACCTTCTAACTTGGGTCTCCCCAGGTCTGAATGAAAGGATGGAGTGGAAGCAGTCAGGGTGGCTCAGTGATGGGCCAATTTATTTTTTATCATTATTATTTTTTTTATTTTTAATAACTACATGATTAGAAGCATTTCACTACAGCTTTAACTTATTCAGATAACAATTTCCAGAGCAAAGATGCACCTCTTTCAAAATTGGCTGTAAATTTTTAGGTTCATAGTTGAATTAATACACTTATACAATATTGAACTCAGTATAAGCCCTGTAAGACATAAAATTGAATGAGTTTTTAACCTTTAAAAAAGATCTCCATTTCATTTTAGAATATATTGTTCCTTGCAGAAAGGCTCAATGTTTTTGCTACTAATGCTGAGATGTTGGCGCATGCATCTCTAATCTGTCTGTATCTATTACTAGTCATAATCGGCTGCACTTGGATCCTTGACGCCTGTGTATGTCTATAAAGTTATCGGGCAGATTTCAACGGTAATGTTTATCACCTCTACTAATTAACATGACGTAAATTTCCATGCTTCCTCCTCAAATATAATACATTTTTTATTTTTTTTGGTGTGTGTGTGTGTGTGTGAATCACACAGAACATCCCCAAACCATCTTATTCAACTATACACCCACTTCCCAGATGGCACCCTCCCATAGCTTCCCTCCCCCCACTAAAGCCATTATA